CTGGGGACAATAAAAAGGGGGCAAAGCAATAAACTTGGCAATCATTTTGAAGTCAGAGACTTGCCCACTAAACATCAGCAGAAGAGCATCCATTTCTAAATAACACTGACCTGAAAAAAACCCAAACCCCAGCTGCCTGGACCCGCAGGTGTTTTGTTTGAGATGTGCCACGGCTGAGCACGCCGCGGGCTGCTTGGGCTCCGCACAACCAGGAAAGCTCTTCCACAGGGATTGCACAGCCCAGCATTTATGCAAGCAACAGACATCTGCGGCGCAGCCACCCAAACGCATGCACAATACCAGCATGAGCCCGTAATTCCCAACATGGCAAGGATGCCGGCTCCCACATCTCCGCAGCTTTGCTCTCATTTCCAGTGCCAGTGTTCCCGAAAGTGGGGCTGGAGGGAAAGAACAAAACCCCAACCATGCTCCAGCGCGCTGGGCTCATCTCAAAAGCTGTCGCTGCTCCGAAGCGGCATCCTTGCAATGGATGCTGGAAGCAGCTCTTTAAAATTCAGCAGCCTTTGTGCCTGACCACACGCAGCGACCTCTGGTATTTTCTGCCAAAACAGTTCATTTGTCTCGCACAACAACTAATCAATTCCCGAGGCCATCCATCACGGGGGCTCGCGCGAGCCGGCCCGGCAGTGGGGCCAGATGGCAGCTGCGTTAGTGGGATTAATACAATTCTGATAGATTACACGGCATCAGGCAGGCTCCCAAATATGAGGGGTGCCCGCTCCGCACCCTGATCCTAAATGGAGTCCCACTCGCGACTAACGCTTGGGAGCAGCCCCACGGGAAAGGGTGGAAGTTTCTACCAGAAAAGGACTTCTTCACCATCCCTCGGTATGGCAGAAGCATAAAGCATAGCTCAGGGAGGCCTCTGTGCCGACCGGCGGATGTCATTCCCATCCTGGCATGCTGAGGCTGTGTGGAAGCAGCCCACGCAGAGTGCAGGAGGGCTCCTCCAGTGGAAGTGGAAAAGGACACGGTCATTTGACAACATTGTTCTGCATTCTCCATCTGCCAAGTCAATGCTTTCGTTTGCTGGAAACACTTATAAACTGCCTCCCCCTCGTCCCCACTTTAAAAAAATATTGAAAAATAACTTTAAAGTTGAATTTCCAATGCTACAGTATTTTTGGCATCTCCCTCAGTTTGTGTCTTAGATTAGATTTATATTGGTGACACATCAGTCAACCTCATCTCACTGCTCATTTCCCAGGTTTGCAAAACTGTAATTACAGCTATTTGATCATGAAAGAGCTCAACTACTACTGCTTTTGTTCTGGTAATAAGACCAGAAAAGAGACATAAAGCCTTATGTAGCAGTAAAAAAACCCACCACTGTACCCAGCCTGAAATCACAGATAATTTCTAAATCCTTCGTTCCAGGGGAACCTCCAAGTCCCATCATCAGTCACCAGCACGCGCTATTTTTATGTAATGCCCGAAGTGAGATAAGTGATTTGCAGAGAAACACAGAGGCAGAGCACTATGCTAATACATTCTGCAACTGCTCCCCATTAGTCACTGGGGGTACTTGAGCTCTTTATTGCCAGGGTTTATTAACAACTCCTAATTGATGACCAGTGCCCAGCACCCCAAAGTAAATAACTGCTATGCCTCATTAGCTCAAGAGACCTTCTCCTGATTTGAGGATTGATCTATGAACACACAAATTGCACTGATTTAACTGAATCTCTTTCTAAATTGATTTAATTAGATCAGTATAACCTGTTTCTATGGATGCTTTTGAATTTATTTGAAATCAGTGCAACATACTTCTGTGAGCCAGAGGGACCATTTTTGTCTTGTTTTCAAAGCAGAAACATTTGAGATAATTAGTGATAAGGCAAAATCAGCCCTGGCACCATCCCAGTTCCTCCACCTTCTGATCCACCTGACTTTAAGGTAGGGTATGGTAACTCCACTTTGTCCAACATTTTCAGATTTGCACGCTAAAACCCAAGCATTTCGTTCCACAAAAGGAATGTAAGCATTATTTATGCATAATTTTAGACACTCACCTTGAAAGCAATGGCATTGCTGCTTTGCTTGGTAATTTACTGCTGATGGTAAACTAGTGGTTTACATGGAAAAACAAGATCTCTCATCTTCCTATTACATAGCAGCAGCTTGGAGGAGGTTAATAATTTGTTAAACTGTTCAAAAGCTTCTGGTAAGAATAAAATAAGTAAACCTGCTTAGGTGAACCTTCAAAACTCAGCACTTGCATTCTTGTCTACCTCCTCGTACAAGGTGAGGTTGTGAAGATGTCGGGCTCCAGATTAATTAGACAGCCTTTTCCTGCCTTTGCATCAGCTGCATCCTAAAAGGCATACGGTAGGCTGTGTTTGGCAGAGTAATGCCGGCTGAGAAATTGCTTTCAGCAGTCTGTCAGAACCCAGGGCTGATGAGGACTCGAGTTTTAGTTTTTAGTACACAAAATAAGATTTTTCTTGCTTATTCTGGGCATCCTTAATATGATCCTGTAACTAGAAAAATATTTATCCTATCAACAGCCCCGGGAAACAGAGACTAAAGTGGTTTGATTAATATTCCAAATTTTGTAAGCTTGTTGTAAAGCTTCAGTAAGGCCCACCATAGACAACTGAGTCAATAAAATAGTCTGCAAAGTTTCTTATCTCAGATCTTAGGTTTCGAGGTAGCACACACATACACGCTGAACTTTCAGCATGGGACTTACCCGTAACTATCAATGTGCTTATGCTGGCTCAAGCTATTAAGTTTCCTTTCCCCTTAAACATTTTCACTTTCTTCCTCTACAGAAAATGCCTTATTTTCCTAAGCCTACATTCTATTTACAAATGCACTGCAGTATTACTGCATGCTAACCTTATGTTCTTGTAAGTAACCACTCAGCCTCAGAAAAGTCACTCTTCTCAGGTGAGTGGTATTACTATCAAACCAATTCACTCCCTGCGCTCAATAAACTCGGATGCCAAATTGAACATCTAGAGCCATCCTTCTTTGGCTAATCTGCTTGCACAGATTTTGTACCAGTGCAATTTTGCTGTTTAGGGCTATGCTTTTACTATTATAATTATCACCATTAGAGATATGGCTATACTTACACACATTTATTCCCTGTTCTAGTAAAAGAATGAACAGTAGACAAAAGCCATAATACATGGGCAACTGCAGGGAGAAAGTTGATACTGTACAACCTGCATGTGGGTGAGATTGTCATGACACTTGCTCACTTCCTATCTTGCAACTGAAGACACTGATGCCTGCGAGCCAAGCTGTGCTAATGGACCACGTGAGTTTCCATTCTGCCAGCAGTCAGGAGACCTCATTTAACTCACTTCCAGCAGAATTCCAGCTGTGTCAGAGACTACCTCTGCCTACAGCCTCATTTTTTAAGGACTACAGATATGCTATACTAAACATACAGCACATATGTTCCTCATGGTATGTTTGGAAAAAATGTATTCGGAGCTGTACTCATCTACAAGTCCTGCACAAGTCATGTTCTCATGGAAATAAAAACAAAAATATGACAAGAAGATTTAGACTAGTCAAGCCAACCAGAGCAAACTCTGTTTTCCTGTATATTGGGCTGTATTTCCTATCCAAGAAGGGGCACAGGCAGTACTTGGGATAGCCAAGACTCTGAAAGCACTGTAGGACTAAGCATAGCTCATACTTAGCACCCAACACTGGGCAGCACTGATATGTTCCACTCCTAAAAGAGCTTGAACAGGATTTAAACCACAAGGTCAAACTATGAGATCAACGATGTTGGCTGACACCTACATAGACAGAGCAGGGAAGAAAAAGGAGCTTGTTGCTAGCAGAAGTGCTATTCCTCAAACAGTGTGTTAAACCAAGGTCATACCTGACCACCTCTGGTCAAGGTTCAGGGGCAAGTTAAGATGTGTTGGCTCCCCATGTGAGGCAGAGAAAGCTACTCCTGGCCAACTGTTCCATCTTGCTAAAAAGCTGATGGCAACACCAAGGGAAGTGCCCACACTACTGCCGAGCACAAAACTGCCACCTTATTTGCTTACACAGAACAGCCATATCAATTTCTACCTGAGCTCCTTGCAAAGGGTTTGGAGCCACCTGCTCAAGATTTATTTTTCATTAGTTTGTGACAAGTAATCAAAGAAATGCTGCGTTAAGAGTTTTAACACTTCGGGAAAGTTCTCAGCGAGCTTGGGAGGCTGTGCGTAGAGAAATCAGTGTTTATGTTTTAATTTCCTGGGACTAAAATGATGCAAGACATTCAACAAAACAAATGGGATCACATACACATAAATGGGTGACTACAACATGAGAGCAAACACTGCTCAGAAATTTAGTCTTCTCTGACTGTTCATTTTAACTAAAAATATGATGCTGTATTCTGAAAGATCCTCCAGGCAATCATTTAGGTATTGGAGTTAATATTATACCCGTGATTAGTGGTCTGGAACAGTGAAAAAACAACCAAAAACCCAGCTGTCCTTTTTCGGTAGCTAATGTCACTTACTACTTGCACCTTGACAGTTTTTAAATAGCAGCCATTCTAGTTCAGTAATGCATTTCTGCTATGCTGGCTGCAGTAGCTAGAAAAAATTAATTTGATGTAAGGTATAAACTCTCCCTGAAGGCAAATATTGTCCAACATTAAAACCTTCATTGAACAATCCTTAATGAATGTATTGGTAAAGAAATAACTATTTGAAAAAGGTAGTGTGTGAATAGCTTTCTATTAAAAATATCCAATATTACCTTTTTTTAGCCATATAACTGAAAAATGGGAAGCCCTGCCCTTCTCCCACATCTTGCGCTAGGGAAAGGTTACTACCTGGCAATGATACAGGCAGTTATTGATTTAAATGATTATGGACCTGAAAAGTTCTTTCCTGTCATTTATTATCCTGTTGTAGTTGCCACCACACTTGTGCAATATTAAAAAAAAAAAGCTTAACAAAATGACATTAAAAAAATACTGTTTTTAACTGAAGTCCAGCACAGATAATCACCTGATTGTTTCTTCTTGATATAATGAGCTGACAACTGGGCCTCCAAATGCAGTTTTGCTTTCTTTTCCCCTCTTCTCTGTTGTCTGAAAGAAAAAGAAAGATTGGTCCAGCATCCTGGCTCCCATCCAGTACCAGCCTGTGCCACCCCTCCACCGTCTCCCACCCCTTCCCCAGAGATAGGAACAGCCCTCTGGAAGCCTCATCTTCATGGCGGACAGTAACCCACGACCCTACTCGATCCAGAACAGCTGGGTGGATCTCTCGGCAAACCGGATCAATGCTCCTCTGAAGGTGGCCCAGAAGGGTCACCCGAAAGGCAGGCTTGGCAGCCTCGCCGTCCTGCTCACGAGCCAAAGCGTTGCCTCTGCAGCGCTCCCAACCATGGCCCCTTAGGACCCAAAAGCCAAGCCTCTGTGAGGTAGCATAATGTTATGTTACTAGATTGCAAGGCTTGCCTTTATAAATCTATTTAATATAGATTTAAAATTAAATTTTATAATGGGCAGCATTTCCAAATGATTTACTCCCAGGAACTCTAGGATTCTGAATGATTCCCACCATAATAGAAATGAACAATTAGAATAATGATTGATCGATATGGAGCCTCAGGCCTACCTTTTCAAAAAAACATCCTGCAGCGTGGGATCTTCAATTGGCTGACTTTACATTGATGCCAGACTTTCAGAAAGGGCTAAGTGCCTGCTGTCTGAAAGCCTGACCCTATTAGGGGGTGCAGGGCACCAGAAACCCTAACTCTTCTAGGGCGTCTAGTATCTTGGTCTTCAGGTAAGCAGTCAAAACTGGTTTGCAATTCGCAGCAGTAACTCCTTATAAAACCAGCCCATTAATTGCAACATGCTGTTGCCTATGGACAGTCCTGTGGCTTTCCGTGATGAGAGATTATCACACCCAGGGTGAATAAAATCAGAAGCAAAGGGAAAGCCGTCCCAACCTCTAGCAGTCTCTCAGAAGCTGCAACACACTGCTGATTACACCAAAAAGCATCGCTGCCTCATCAGAATTCTACCTAGAAAGATGTTGATTTTTTTGTTTTTAATAAAACATGCTTACATTTGTCTTTCTTCCTGCTCCCTAGGTTTCTTCTGTTTTAAATCAATGTACTGTTTCCCCATAATACACTTATTTTTACATTCTGCCCAGTTCCACCTTTCAGCTCTCCTGTACCAGCCCAAAGCTGTAATATTTGGGTTTGCAGATATCACAGACGTACTTCTTTATAAGAAAAAAATGGAAACGAAATTGGCTTTGAAAACTATTCTATGGCAAGTAGGCTTTCTCTAATTTAGAGTAAAAGGTGACATGAAGTTCTCCTTTCCTGAAGGCAAAGGGCTTCAGGGTCTTTACAGTGCAATGCCCCTCTTAAAAAATTATTTAGCAGAGAACCTTACTGTCCATCAATTATTTCCACACCACTTATAAAGAAAATTAATTTCAGATCATCTGCTAGTACATGCAAGAGTTATTTCTATAAAATGAAGCTCTACTCACTGCTAGTCTATCATCTTTGATATTGAGGGACACTGGTCATTCAACCAGTATCAGAAACTACAAAAAAATTTTAATCCATATTCTTTCATCTCTTTCCACTATAGTTTTTGGTTGTTGCTTTTTTTCAAAGTCAGAAACAACACTTGAGAAAATACATTTCTTCCTTCTAGAGGCAGAAATTGTAAAAAAGGTTTCTTGGATTAAGTTCACCTTCTTTGCACAACCAATGCATTTCTATCAAAGATTAATCATGTTGATCGAGTACACATAAGATCATCAGGAAACTTAGCGATAAAGGCTTTCCCAAAAATGCTCAGGCAAAAACTTCTCCAGCTTTTAATCCATACACAGGTTACTTTGTCCAAGTAGCTTTTATCTCATCTCTTTCACACCGAAAAAGGTAACTCAATATTCAATTTATGAATGTTGAACTAAGCTTATTCCATCACAATCCCCAATATGTAGAACAAGTTTATGAAAAGCGTACAGGAAAAGTCTCGTCTATCCTTTCAGGATTTAATGTGTGCCCCTACTCTGCAAAGCCATGAAAGACAGCATCATGGCTCCACCATTCATCACCACTGGACTTCCCAAGGGGAGTATGTCCAGGCTACAAGGAATGCTTCTTCCCAAAAACATTAACTCTGCCTCGACGCAGATACAAACTGGTTTCTTTCCAGCCACCCTTGACAACTTGCCTATACCGTGAGCTCATCTGCCCACTTCCAATATCTATACTACCCAGCCTGACAGGGACTTGCACGCAATATCTGAGCATGACATACCAAACTGGGTAATGAAAGAGGTGGGACAGAAGCAGTTTCTCCTTCCAAACCACGTTACGGCTATCATACTACCAGGAACGAGTATTTTTATTTGCCACTCATACTGGCTGAAGGGATCAGTAATGTGCAGATGCACTTTCCTTCTTAAGTGTTCCCTTTCCTACAGCAGAAAAGGGCTTTTAGGGCTGGAAAGATAAAGGAAACACTACATATACACAGATAATGACCAGTGAGTTTAAAGTCACATTAGCTTGCAAACCATAATGAAATTAAAAACTGACACTGCACATTCCCCCTCTCCTCCTTTAAAAAAAGGCACTAATAATTAACTATGTGGCTCTCAATAAGCCAGCTCAATTTCTTTCACTGCTGGCAGCCCTGCCCAAAAGCACTACAGATACACGTGTAACTAATGATAGTTAAGAAATAACATGATCCCAGGCTCCCATCATTTGCAACCTGAATCCGAGAGAGATGACCGCAGCATTATCTGCGGTCAGGACCATGTAAGAGATGCTGTAGAAAAGGCAAAATTACTGTGGGCTCCATGAGCGTGAGGGGGTTGCCCTCAAACTGCCAGTTAAAACTGTGGGAATAAAGGGGAATTTGTGACAGCATGGGAAGAAACCTTGGAGGATTGCACTCAAACGCCAAAGCATAGGCAGTGGCACGTAAGAGATCCGGGAAGAAATGATAAAGAAGTGTAAGAGATGCCTTAAGAGGCACTGAAATTTCTCATGTTTTCCCCTAATTCTTGCCCATTGATTCTTTGTTGCCCGTGTACAATTAAGGCTGATATCAAAGTCACTATTACTCTTGACAGTTAACTGTGGTAGGTGGATCTGGTTGACCAAAGCTAGCATAAATAATGGGCAAATATGTGCTTCAGTATGCAGCATACGTACTCATTAAGAGACATTTTCAACTCCCCTGACTCCTGATGTGCTCACAGACTGGCGCAGGGAACTCCACTAAGCCCACAACGAATGCCAGAAGAAAAGCTGCACTCCTCCCGGAACAGACAGCAGAGCATCCTCATCCCTGCCTCAGTGCACTGTGTTTGTCAATAAAAGACCAGCTCGATTCAAGGTACAATCGCATCTCGACTGGCTGTCACTGACAATGCTGCTCCAGACGGCCTCAAAGCCTGACAACCACTTTCTGAACAAAATGGAAATACAGGGACTAATATTTGCTAACATCATTAATTCATTTTTTTTTCCTCCACTCCCCCTTCTTCCTTTATCCACGATGTCAAGATGTATACTTTTAAATTGTTGTCAGCCATAAAACAGACGTCGTGTCCCAGTTCAGAGGTTAACATATAATGACAGACACATTAAAAAACCCTGTCTAATGCCTCACTGAAAATTTCAACTCCATCTTCTCTTCAACGAGACAGTAGCTCAAACTCACTTACAAGCTTTAACAACATTAAAGTCTAATCGTGATTGAAAAATAAAGGAGAAAGAAGATAGTTTTATCATACTAAGCATTATGGAAACGAAAAACAATTAGAGACAAACATTTTCTTTGTGAGGGTTTGAGTTCACCTTCTGCTTTGGTCTTAAAAGTCTCCCATGATCACAGCATCATCCATTTCTCCTCTTGCATTTTTGGAGAGCAAGATAAAAATTATCATGTAAGAGGAAGAGCAGTAGTTTCTTGTTGGGGATTGCTTTGGTGGGCTGACCTCTTGCTATATCCCTGAAGACAGGACAGGGATTTACTGTTTTTCATCTCCGAGCCCAAGCTTTGTTCCAATCTACACAAAACAGCCTACAACAGATTTTATAAGATGGTACTTCCAAGGGCCCTTCCGATGACTCACTTCAAACTCATGTGCCAGAACTCGTTACAGAGATGCAAGTGAACTTACCATTGGCGATTAGCTGGGACTGAACAGGACCAAACAGTACACAGCTATTTTATATGTAGGGCAAAGGACTCATGAATCTGACAGAAGGAAAGGTACAGAGAAGTC